CCTCGGAAGCGTGCAGATTATTACCTAACAGAATATAGTACACTCCAAAGTGTGATTAGAATTGGTCACTAGTTGTGATTGAAAGAAAAAATAAATAATATAATTATAGAGTAAATACCTGTAAATAATCGTTTGACTTCATTTCTGTGACCAAGTGGACAAATGTTTCAATTTCAATTGAAGCTAGTTGTATTTCAATTTACCATTCAAAATTCTTTAATGATTTGATGTGTCAAGTTAAATTACATCAAATTACAGGCATTTATCAAAATTATCTTATTTCTGTGAAAAAATTGATCTGTAACTTGATCATTACCAACTTTCTCAATGAACAGAATCAAACCATAACTCCATTCCTATGTATTCCTAGTTTCGATTATTCCTCATAGTTCAAAACTTGAGCAATCCAGATTCAGGCAATTCGACCCAGTATTTTTTCATCGTAAACCCAACGCAATCTTCCGAGTGAGTTATAGTTATATTTCGTGAAAAAGGGCTCACTGGTTCCTATCTCATTTTCCATGTAATTGTAAATCCCAATGATAAGAATTCAGTTCATCTCACATGCGATATTATTCTGATACTGTCGCATTTGAATAAGGTCCAACTCGTGATTTGGAAGTTATAAATATTTATTGACTTAGAGAAACGTGGTATAGTCGTGTTTATATTGATAGAACATACTGTGTGAGTTGACTAACATGTACCAAAATTTTTACTTTCGTTGACCAGAAAAAAATCAGCGGTTAACATATCAAGCCAAGTTTAAATATTTTTGTAAAATTAGGGAATATTAGACAAATTTAAAAATGTAATTTAATTATTTAAATTTACCATATAAAATTGATGGTGTATCAAATAATTAATTCGAATTTGATGAATAGAAGAAGTACTAGTAACACAATGAACCCTTTCCACTCGGATGCCGCCACTCCGGCAGCAAAATTCATGTAAGTCTTGGAATTTGCGAGTGGAAAGAGATGAACGAAGAAGACTGATCAGATCTTTAAAATTGATGAGGACTCATATTGAAAGAAGTACATATTTGGTAGTCAGCGCAATGATTTTGAAAAGCAAACGCAATTTAAAATTCTGGAACCAAAAGATTGCAGTTTTTTTAAATATTTATTGAACAGCGATCATCCAAATAAAAACTGATGTATTTACTGTTTGACATCAGTCTGCACGAAGCAGGAATCGAATCTGAGACCTCTGATTTATATCCCATAGCGCTAACCACTTACGCATGGGCGAGCCTTAACAAATGCAGGTAATACATATTTTATGCGTGGAGCAAATCAAATCCAAAATTAGATTGTCAACAGTTGAAGGAAAATACATTATTCACAAGATTTAGAAAGCAAACTATGTATTTATAGTTTAACATATGTGTATGTGTTAACCAGTACATATATATTTAATTTGAATTTATCATTAAACTATAGTGATGTTAAAAAATATTATTGTCATCCTAGACCAGTCACCGAGAAAATCATTGGTGATCATTAATAGTGATTATTGCGTTGATGGTGCGCAAGTACCCAAGCTTACAAAAATCATTTTAATCATCATGTTTCTTTTTTTTTCCAAAAATCTTCTAATAAAGCTTCTAATAAAGCTCGTCTCCTTGTTCGTTATATCGAACGTCTACTTAGTATGTAAGGTTCGCGCTCAGTGACATTGCCTATTTCTCTTCGACAACTCCGGAAGATTTTATCTAGTGAATGATATGAAATCCATGATCGTATAATCGAGGGCATAAGGCAAAAGGATAGGACGATGGGAATAACGGCTTTGGGGCCGAAGGCAGGACATGCTTTACAGTTTTTCTTCTGGATCGCATAAACTGCTTTATAAATAAATATAGAAATATGGTATTGCATACTATACCACATATCAAGAAAGTGGATACAAGTAAGAACCAGTGGTGTATGGTAATCATAGATAAACTAGTAATGGTAATATGAAGCAGGACAAATTGGTGAAGCTTTCTGATTTATAAACAAATATTTGATAAATGATAGTATATTTGAAAGTGCAAACTATATAAAACTTTTTGGGTGAAAACATATTGTGAATTTTGTAAGTATTATCATAAACCGAAATGGCACGAAATTTAAAATTAAGTGAACGATAATAATATTAATACCATCATCAGGTTGGGAACAATTCTTAATTATGAATAGGTATGTATCTACGACTATAATATTTATTATTGTTTTCTTTTTCTTGTTCCACTTTGTTGTAATCATGAATATAAGGTAGTGGTTAGTAAAAATTGTATAAAATAATATATGAATAAAATCTGTAAATAAGGAAATATATTTATATATAAAATATATGGAATAACTGATGGTGAAGAAATTTACATTAAAGATTTTGGTTCACTGCATTTACTTATTATTATTATTTCAATAATATCGTTAAAAACCAAACCGCCAATATCTATAACCTGCTCCAGCAAAATCACCTTTTTTCGATGCCGCTTGATTCTGGAATAAGACGCCGCGGCAAGAACACTCAAGCGGTGTGTATTATATAACTATCCCAGCGGCAAATTGCAAGATATTCGGAACAAAAACTAATGCTTTTATATAACGCTTATGGCAGCGGCTCAAACAACGATCGGGGAGAAGACTAAAGCTTCTTATATTATATATACTTATATACATATACAAAATTCTTGTATATACTTATATACATATCTGAAAATTTGATTTGGTCATAAGAGAAATTGAATATAACATAAAATGGAACATAGTTAGATTGCATTAACTAAAATTATATCGATAATGGGTAATAATTACATAATGAACAATTTAATAAATAATAAAAAAGATCCTATTAAAAATCGCCCGTTACTACTTATTCCTCTTAAATAAAACGTCTCCTACATTTATCGCATAACCTATTTTTGCTTAACCTCTTCTCATATTCTTTAAACTTATTTAACATTAAATAAATGATTAAATACAAGATCCTATTGAAAAACCACCGCAGACGTTGCCCGTGTCTACAATTCAAAAATTCAATTTTGAATAGCCTATGCTGATATTTACTGCTTTTCAGTAATAATATTGTAGAAATTACATTTTTCTTATTCATAATCATGAATATATTACATTCTAATATTGTCTAGGCTCATAAGTGATACTGCCAGGTGACAGTTCTCATCAATTTTTTTTATTTATTTCTTAAATATTACTATCTTTTTATAATTACTTACATTCTAAAACAATGCCTTAACAAACTTCAGAAAGATTTATAAAAGTACCTCGACTTACACCCGTACAGGAAAATTTTGTATATATATATATATATATATATATATATATATATATATATATATATATATATATATAGCGCACAACCCATTTTTTTAGACCACACAAAATTTCAGATGAGTAAATCTGACGTGCTCATTTCTAGATATTGTTAAAGATTTGAGAGATTATAATGTTATAATACATCATATTTTGTTATTTGGTATTTATTAAAATATCATTTTGATTTTCTGACAATTTTGCTAAGACATATCATGTTACTTCCTTTTCTTTACCCGATGGTCACCGATTACCTAATTTTCAACACAACTTATCATATTATAATTCTCATAATCTCATCCGATCATTGACCTATTCCTTAAATTTCCAAGTCATCCCGTTCTCCACGTGTCTGTTTCACCTTGAAATTATATTATTGTTAAATCGATATTACGGTTACAAACTCAATTCGGGAGCAGCTCCCACGATCGCGGTATAGGAGCATTTAGCCCCAATGGGGATCCTTCATTTCGGCGATCCTGGATATTAACGATTCGTCGGACGCCGCTTAGCCTGGCACGGTTCCAATTGCGCCAGTTTATGCTCCGAAAACGATACGGAGCACTTTTTGAATAATTACCACTTTCTTAGGTCTAGTTTCGAAAACTTTTAATTGCTGTAAAATAATAGATAGAAGAAACAGGAATGCTACTTCGTAATTTGACGTAGATTTATGTTTGATGTAGTTTTGGAAGAATAATACATTTACGAATGCATAAGGTTCTTAAACTATTATAAAAATATAATTGGTCAAGTATGTTTGAAAACAGGGATAAACAATAACATATAATGTTTTAACGATATGAAATATGGCCTCACTTGTGACATATTGTGATTCAATTTCAAAATTGTTAGTGTAGTTTCAGTTATATATTAGTTGGTTGCGAGAAGCTTTAAATTCGTCATAAATCATTGCCAATCCAATTATGAAATCGAGAGTTATGGAACTATATTAGCTCATCGGACATAAGTTAAAATTATCTCTTTAAACCTAAATCTTGGTTTTTATGACAATAATAAATCCTATCTGGTCATACGGCATAGAGCTTTGGCTGCTCTAGCAAATCTAATGCGGCATTGGTACAGAGGACCCAATGAAAACTACTTAGAATGATGATAGTTTCATCCTGGTAATAAAGCAAGTAAACTTTGCATGATGACTTAAATGTGATACATATTAAATATTTTATAAAAACAAAATCCACTAACCATCATCACTAATTAGATAATCACCCCAATTTACCCCCTTGCTCCGCTGCTTCCTACACCAGAATCAAGACGACTTAAAAAATTATGGCCTATTAACTTGATCCAATGAATTGTATCTAATAGTAACTACTTACTGAGGTAACTACTATCTATAAATGCATTTAATTGTACAAATTAATTGTATAAAGTTCCTAAATTTTAAATGTCGTACCATTTTATAAGTAATTTATAACCTCATAACTATTCTACAAAATATTGAAAGAAACAATTAATCTTTTTTCAGGAGTGTTAACTAACAATCTAGGACACCAATATCCAGTACATGTAGGACACCAGTGCAAATACATGTTTTATATATTTCTTTGACGATGTTTGCCAAACAAACTGCCAGAAATAAATTGCCTTTAATTTTAAAACTAAAAACTAATTTTCGCTAATATTCATTATAGAAAATATTTTCGAACTGACCTCGTTCGTGTTCCAGCGATGCCTCTGTGTTGGAAAATGTTCAGCTCGTGGCAGACTTTCCAAATTATCTGGCAGCTTAATCGGCTCTCCGTCTGTGGAGAAAAATCAAAACAAACATTAGTTAACATAGTTTTACAGTTTTAATAGCATAATTAATAAAATAACGGAATTAATAATAAAGGTAAGCGTAAATAACAGCAAAAATTTGACTTAGAGCGTCAAGGGCTGATAAAGGCCTGCTTTGAAAAATATTCAATACCATATATTTGAATCATATTTATTGATTCACTAAATCATTTAAAAAAAATATGAATAGAAAAATGTATTTTTATGAGATAAAACACTATTTCCTTAGATAAACAAATTTCTATCATTTTGCCTATGCAATACAGCATAAGTTTATTATAATATAAGAGCGTTTTCTATAGAATTAGTCAAGATTATAATCGATAAATAAACTATAAACAAATATAAAAAAAAATCTGCATTGATCAAACATTATTGATAAATAAAAATAGATATAATTCACTCCAACAAGTCTTGACCCTTTGCACTCGTATGTCGCCGCACCGGCGGCCAAGTCACGTTATGCCATTGCAATGTGAATTGAAATTTGTATAATTGGTATTACATTTATATGGACAACAGGATAAAATATTTCATCTGGAAGAACGTTGAACTTGATGATTATTATATAAGGAAAGATATCAATACTATCATTTACCATTTCACATTTAAAATTTTTGTCCATCAAATTATAAGACCTTATTTCAGAGAAGCTATTTCTAGTGAATCGATAAACACAATCTGAAATCTCATATGTGGCCGTGGTGCTGAATTGGCACTCCCGAAAAAAAACTGCCAGTGTCAACGCTACAAATCGATTTTAGATTACGTTCCAGATATATTACTGTACCCGAGCTCTTACTGCTAATAAATACGGACTTCATAAGGGAATCCGAATTGCTTTCCCAATGGCAAGGACGAAGAACAGGGTTAGGAGGAATAGAACGAATATAGAATATAGAATAGATTCCTTCTCGACAGAAGCATCACAAAATTCTAATTTATCTTTATAAAAAGTCGGTCTATAAATATTATTTGTCAAATTATAAACTACCTGAAGAAATATCCGTTTTGCTAGTTTTTTACTACCTCATGGGTATAATTAATAGCCCAATTCTGCCATAAAATAGGTCAATGTTACGTAGCGCTTCTCATACAAAATAGTACTAAATGCTGTCATAATGCCATGTGGTTGCTAATGTGCAATCAGACTTCTTAGATAGAGAACGTAACCCAGGAAATGTACAATTCACTACAATATTTAGAATTGTCCAGTTAAGAACATTTAATAAATTTGTTGATATTCAATTGTCAATCGTAATAGGAACATTGTATATTATAATGACATGTTGAAAAAATCAACGGCCGATATTCATGCTCAATAGTTGGTTTTCTATTCGTTATAAATATTATCAACAATATTCTAATAATAATAGTATAAACTTTACTATTTTCTTATAAATAATTTCTCATAAATAATAACTAAGTTATATTATTGTCTGTATAAATTTTAAATTAATGGGATTAAGTTTACTAAAAATAATTGTGAGTAAGAGCAATACAATGTTATTATAAGTGTATCTTTATGATGTGGTATAATAACATATGAGCAAAGTTGCATTTTATGTATAAAACGCCTGATCGCAGAACAAATATATAGCATTTTGACAGTATTTGGTAACATTTTGTATGAAACTGGAACGTAACATAGCCTTGTCATAACATTGGTCTATTTTACATCTTAGAAAAAATCGGCTTCTTAGTTTAATATTAGGCATAAGAATATCAGTGTAAATTTATTAAAAATATATGCCCTAATATATAATAATAAATGTGCCCTAAAGAAAATGTAAATGCTGATTTTTCTCAATATGCAAATTAATATATTATATCTATATGTTTATAAATTCTTATCACCCCATTAATAATTATTAATTTCTAATAATTATTTTTATCATCAAAGGAGTTTTTATTATTATTAATATTTTTTTTACATCAACCTCAAAATAATATTTTGCATAAAATGAAGATATAATATTGTCTTACGTAGAAATTTCTTAAACAATAAATATTACAAAATAACAGATAAACAAAATTAACAAATCAATACAATATAATAGTGCTAATTGATGATAAGCACATCATTACGGAGATGACTCTAATCATTCTTTTGTAAGCTAATAAAATATAAGTTTAAATCCAGAGCCAATAAGTTGATTATTTAAATTTTGTAAATATTCAATTACTGTACTAAAAGTTCCAGCAATTTACCTTAAGACACAATGTCATGCACCACTAGTTGGAAAATCATTTTAAAACGCTTACGTTTCGGTTTTAGTCCTATCCTTCATTAAGTAGAAAAATAAATTTGTCCTGATAATGGAATAGCATTACACCATATAGTTAATTTTGAAACATGTAATACAAATATGGACAATAAATATATATAACATTTATAAAAAAACATACATATAAGGAGTAATGTTTCAATGATAGATAAATTTGAAAATAATTAATTTGTGCCGATTAAATGATATTGCAATATTATTAATATGAAATTATCACCTATACCTCAAGAATAGTGTCAGCTAAATTTAAAGTTTGATATTTTAAAATATAATTATCAAATTTAATTTATAGTATTACAATGAATTTATTTAATATTACAAAATAATTAATGACAGTCATCAAATAACTACATTAATTATATATATTTTACATAACTCGTAACGATCATGAAAACCGAGTTATTTAATTATCGTAACATAACATTATACATTTTAACACATGTACATATTTCACATGAACCTAATAATCATTAAAATTTTGTTTACAAAGCATAATTCTACTATTGTGATTTGTAGTAATGTGCTCGAAAATTCGCATTATTTTGCATAATTACATGGTTCCTAAAATTAATAACCACATGAACATTCGCTTTAGCTCGCAGATAGAGTAATAAATGTTACTACCCTGTTATTATTCATTTTCAAATAATATGAAAAGCCCATATATGAAAAAACTTTTCCGAATTTTACGTCACGTAAAAGATTAACCTCGGCAAATAAAAAAGTTACAACACATTAAAGCGTGTTTTGAAAAACTCATTCTTTTGATATCATTTTTTATACTATAATAAGATTTTAATGTCTAGATAAACATGTTCTGTTCAGTTGTGTGATATTGGAGGCATTGTGTATTGTATTAAAATAAGTTATTTTATATTTTGTTCGTTGTTTGATATGTAAAAGTTGGCATAAATAATGCTACAAAGTTTTATGAAGGACGTAACTTGACAGTTTTACTAAAAATTTATTACATTAGTATAAGGTTAATCATTATACATTAAAAGTTAGGAATCATACAATAAATATCTGCATAGATCAACACATAAAATATCACTAAAAATGTGAACTAAGATTTAGTCACCAATGTAACAAAAAAATAATATCTTGAGATAATTATTTGAATGAAAGAAAATTCTAATAAATATTACAAAAGTTAATATTGATAGTCCAATTATTCAAATAACATGTCATATTTTTTACATAATTTGGAATACATTTTGGTAAGACAATAAAATAATGTGATGAAGACCATAACTTATAAAACTTGTAATTCTGTGGAACAAATGCCATATATTCACTATATTGTGTTTAGTTTTCATAATATATATGACTAAAATAGTATGTAAAGAAGTTAAATTGACATCATAAATAATAATATTCATATTTATTACAAACTTATTTAAAACACACATTATCCAGAAATAAATTTTTATGGTTGAATTTTACCTGTTAGTTGAATGTATATATAATTTAATTTTACTGTATCACTTTTTCCATTGGAAATAATTCCACGAATCGCAACCTAACTATAAATTTTATATTGGAATATTTTAATAATTCATATCTCTAAAATGTGCACATGAAACTAAGGCATATCATTTCCATTTCCAGTTTTATGATCATCATCGCTTTTGTAAAATCCACAAAGTGAAACTAAAATACATTATTCATTATTAAAATGAAGTATTGGTATGATTTCATTAACAAGATGAATATTAATTACATGTCCATAGTACGAACATAATATGCAAATTTTGATACATCATACGATGCTCCACTTGGAGGAGTGGAAAACACTAATATTTAGATGAAGTTTAAGGATATATTATAAATTAATAAATTATTTTTGGAATGTGTGATGTCGGTTGTAAAATACAAGCTCATTATCAAATGAAAAAAATTGAATATAGACACAAATACTTTAATGTTGGGCTAGAAATTGGGCTGTAAATATTTTATAAACCCTTAACTGTTAACAATTCATAATAGAGAATATTTGATAATATAGAGTAGGTCAAAATCTACATAAAAAACTGAGTATAGTAACTGTACTAACTGAGCTTTCAAACTATTTATTTAAAACCTATGGTCGCAATATCGAAAATCGTGCCTATTCATTTCTGATATCATTAATTGCGATTCGTTAAACATACTAAATAGTAATTATATGACGTGGGTTAAATTCAAAACATGTTTGATATTGAATTGCATGACTAACAGTTTATAATATAGATGTAAATGTAGGTAATTACCAGTTCCAATATATAATGTATGATTAATGTCTTCATCGAAGCCATAGAAATAAAGATTATTGATAATTATATGAATGTTACGTGTGATGACGTTCGAAGTAAAATATTATATGAGTTGGCATAGTTTAATTGACAAGCCTTAAAAAAATATTTGGTCATAATTTTGTATAATTTCATTTTTCTTTCTTAACTGACCAATAAAGTATTTATTGAGAAAAGATCTCTATATTTTAGTTTATAAAAGTTATCAAATTTATTTTTCATGATACATCATTTATTACAAATATAAAGAATATTGTTATAATAAATGATTACAATAAGACAACTAAAAACCGCAATCTTTCTATCATCTCTCGTAAGTTCATCGTGGGTTCAGAATGGATATTCAATACTTTATCCGAACCGTTCCGATGATAAGATAAATAA